CCTGCTCCTCCTCCTCCTCCTCCTCCTCCTCCTCCACCTCCTCGTCATGCTCTCTCTCCTCCTGCCTCCTTCATCAACTCCGCCTCCTCACTCACCGCATCTCCCTTCGTCTGCCCCGCCCCCCCCCGTCCTCCCCCATTCCGGCATCAAAAGCCCCCATCCTCCTCATCCTCATCCTCTCCCTCCGCTTGCCCTCCTCTCGTCGTCTCTCCTCCTCCCTCCTCCTCCTCACCCACGTTCCTCCTCCCTTCTCTTTCTCCTCCTCCGCTTTCCTCCTCTTCCTCCTCCTCCTCTTCCTCCTCCGCGCTCTTCTTCCTTTCTCCTCGTCCCCCGTCCTCCCCCATACCCTCCTCCTCCTCCTCCTCCTCCTCCTCCTCCTCCTCCTCCTCCTCATCCTCCTCCTCCTCCTCCTCCTCCTCCTCCTCCTCAGCATCAGCAGCATCAGCATCATCAGCATCATCATCATCATCATCATCATCATCATCATCATCATCATCATCAGCATCATCATCATCATCATCATCAGCATCATCATCATCATCAACAGCTTCATCAGCATGATCATCAGCATGTGCACCATCGACAGCATCAGCAACGTCTTCAATAGCATCGGCATCATCACCATCAACATCGTCAACAGGAGCAGTCTCATCAACGTCAGCATCAACAGCCTCAGCATAATCAGCGTCATCACCATTAGCATCAGCAGCATCATCATCATCAACATCAGCATCATCAGCAGCCGAATCATCATCATCATCATCAACATCATCATCATGATCAGCAGCATCATCATCATCATAATCATCAGCATCATCATCGTCATCATCATCATCGTCATCATCATCAACAGCATCATCAGCATCATCATCATCATCAGCATCATCATCATCGTCATCATCCTCATCACCATCACCATCACCATCACCATCACCATCACCATCACCACCATCATCACCATCGCTCATCCTCATCATCATCATCATCATCATGATCATCATCGACATCGTCGTCAGCAACATCATGATCAGCATCATCATCTCGGCAGCATCATCATCCTCAACATCATCGTCATCATCACCACCATCATCAGCATCATGCTCCTCATCAGCATCACCATCAGCATCACCATTATTGTCCACATCATCAGCAGCATTAACATCACCATCATCACAATCATCCTCATCAGCCCCCATCATCCTCATCCTATTCCTCCTCCTCCGTCTACTCCGCCTCATCATCAGCATCGGCATCTACATCATCGTCAACATCCGCAGCAGCATGACCATCATCGTCAGCATCAGCATTCGCATCATCATCAGCATCAGCATCCTCAGCATCATCATCATCATCATCGTCGTCATCAACATCACCGCCATCAACAGCATCATCATAATCATCATCAGCAGCAACAGCATCATCATCATCAGCATCATTAGCATCAGCATCATCATCAACGGCAGCGGCATCAACACCAGCAGCAGCAACGTCAGTCTCATCATCAGCAGCATCATCCTCATCAGTACCATCAACAACAGCTACCTCCTCATCAGCAGCACCACCATTCTTCAGCATCATCACCATAACCAACGTCATCTTCATCATCAGCATCAGCATCAGCAACAGCAACATCAGTATCGTCATCGTCATAGACACCGTCGTCGTCATCACCATCACCGCCACCACCACCACCACCATCATCATCATCACCACCACCACCAACAGCATCATCGTCATGGCCAACACCGCCACCAAATTCGTCAATGCCGTCATCATCCGCATTGCCCCCCCCCCCATCGCCCAGCATCCCGTTCCCATCCTCATCAACCTGCTCATCCTGATCATCCGTGTCGTCCTCGTCCACCTGTCGTCCTCGTCTGCATCAGCACCCTCCGCATCAACATCATCATAATCAGCATCATCAGCAGCAGCATCACCATCATCATCAGCAGCATCATCAGCATCAGCACCAGCATCAACATCACCATGATCATCAGCATCGTCAGCATCAGGATGATCATCATCGGCATCAGCATCCTCGTCCTCATCCTCATTCCCATCGTCATCCCCATCAGCATCATCATACTGACGACAAGGCTCAGCATCGTCATCATCAGTGCCACCATCATAACCACACTCATCAGCAGTATCTTCAGCATCGTCATCCTCAACATCATCGTCATCATCACCACCATCATCAGCATCATGCTCCTCATCAGCATCACCATCAGCATCACCATTATTGTCCGCATCATCAGCAGCATTAACATCACCATCATCACAATCATCCCCATCAACCCCCATCATCCTCATCCTATTCCTCCTCCTCCGTCTACTCCGCCTCATCATCAGGATCGGCATCTACATCATCGTCAACATCCGCAGCAGCATGACCATCATCGTCAGCATCAGCATTCGCATCATCATCATCAGCATCAGCATCCTCAGCATCATCATCATCATCGTCGTCATCAACATCACCGCCATCAACAGCATCATCATAATCATCATCAGCAGCAACAGCATCATCATCAGCATCATTAGCATCAGCATCATCATCAACGGCAGCGGCATCAACACCAGCAGCAGCAACGTCAGTCTCATCATCAGCAGCATCATCCTCATCAGTACCATCAACAACAGCTACCTCCTCATCAGCAGCACCACCATTCTTCAGCATCATCACCATAACCAACGTCATCTTCATCATCAGCATCAGCATCAGCAACAGCAACATCAGTATCGTCATCGTCATAGACACCGTCGTCGTCATCACCATCACCGCCACCACCACCACCACCATCATCATCATCATCACCACCACCACCAACAACATCATCGTCATGGCCAACACCGCCACCAAATTCGTCAATGCCGTCATCATCCGCATTGCCGCCCCCCCCCATCGCCCAGCATCCCGTTCCCATCCTCATCAACCTGCTCATCCTGATCATCCGTGTCGTCCTCGTCCACCTGTCGTCCTCATCTGCATCAGCACCCTCCGCATCAACATCATCATAATCAGCATCATCAGCAGCAGCATCACCATCATCATCAGCAGCATCATCAGCATCAGCACCAGCATCAACATCACCATGATCATCAGCATCGTCAGCATCAGGATGATCATCATCGGCATCAGCATCCTCGTCCTCATCCTCATTCCCATCGTCATCCCCATCAGCATCATCATACTGACGACAAGGCTCAGCATCGTCATCATCAGTGCCACCATCATAACCACACTCATCAGCAGTATCTTCAGCATCGTCATCAGCACCAGCATTATCATCAAACTCGGCACAACCATCATCATCGTGATGATCATCATCATCATCGTCATCATCAACAACAACAGCAGCAGCAACATCACCATCATCATCAGCAATAGCATCAGCATTATCGTCATAACCATACGCAGTATCAGCATGATCAGCAGCATCATCATCATCATCATCATCATCATCATCATCATCATCATCATCATCATCATCATCATCATCATCATTGGCATCGTCGATATCGTCGTCGCCAGCATCATTGCCATCATCAAACCCATCAGCATCGTCATCGTCATCATCAACCTCCTCTCCAACATCCTGCTTGCCCTCTCCGCATCCTCCGTATCCTTGTTGCGTTGATAGCCACTGGCACCTAAGCGACGTGAAAAACGCTGACGTTCGCCCGTTTCTGCACCTCGGGCCCTCGTGGGTCAATCCGACTCAAGCTATCAAACAAGAACATGAGAAGATTGGATAAAGGGCGACGGCCGTAGCTGTTCACGACGGTGGGGTGCTTCACGACGTTCAACAAAGTGATCATCATCACTCCTCCTCCTCCTCCTCCGCCTGCTCCTCCTCCTCCTGTTCCTCCTCCTCCGCCTTCTCCTAGTCCTCCTCCTCCTCCTCCTCCTCCACTCCCTCCCTTTTCTCAACCCCTCCGTCCCATCATCTTTGAACCGATGCCCTTACCACTGTGCTTTCCCGAAGCAGAGCGTGCACGGAGGGGCTCTTACCTAGCTTCTGGGGGGGGCTTGCATCACGTCGCCGCCGTCACCGCTGCGTGGAGCCCCTGGGGGCACTCCTGGCCCTTCGACCACCCCCTTCTGGCCCGTGCCGCGCGTCGCCGCCGTCGCCATCGCCGCCGCCGCCGCGAGGGGTCCTGGGCAGTCCGCACGTTTCGCAAAGTGTGCCCTCGACCCTCAGGAGCGAATAAGTTTCTGGCACGCTCTTGAACGTGTTGCGCCTTTGGAAACCTCTCGGGACTGAATGAGCCTCCAGGGACGCCCTGGGCCCAAGATCCAGGGCGGAAGCAAATTTAGACATGCCTCCACTTCGCGACCCCAATTGGCCCTGGGTGCTGCACATCGGCGCCGGTCACTGGCCCCCGGGCCCTGTGGGGCCCACGCCATTTCTGCACACCATGCGGGCTCTGGGCATTCCCGCACTCGGGGCCTGCGCCCCATAGATTGCACCCCACAGGATGCACCCCACAGGTCGCACCACACAGCTTGAAGCCCATCGATAGCACCCCGTAAGATACACGCCACTGGCCTTGCCGCGTATAAAGTGCCCTGAGTCTCCCTGCGCGAATTATATTACTCCTGATGTATCCTATCCATATCCTCATACTCCTAACCGATCCTCCATCCCCACCCCACGAACGTCGACGCCAGCGCCCTGACCCTGAAAGCCATATTGACAGCCCCCACAGACACCGCTATCTCCTCAAAGTATAATCCTTCGCAGATGTAGATTCCCTTCTGTATCTCTCCAAATCTCCGTCTGTGTCTTGCGATCGATGTTGCGTTCTCAAAAACGGAGTCGGCTGTGTGGAACCAAATGAGGCAGCCATGTGGGACACAACAATGTGCTGAATGGTATAAGATTGGCATCACGGTGGCCAACTCGACCGTTATACTGGTCTTGGTGGTAGACCAGGTATGATATTACTGCACACACGTAAGCGTGGCAGCGCTATGGGGATGAGAACAGTCAATGTCAATGCGGAAGTGCGCTGGTAATAATATCAACACTGACGACGGTCATGTGCCCAGACACACACACATAAAGATGGCAACCAATGACTGTTACAACGATTGCAACAAAAGCTGACCCATCCGGCTGGCACGCTACTACAACTACGCCGCAGCACCTGGGGCACTCGCAGATTTCGTGGTGTACGGCGGGGGGAGCAGCTGCTCCTGGGGGCGCCAGGAAGAGCGATGTCACCACAGCGGGAGCGACGAGGAGAAGAGGATAAGAAACAGCAGCACCAGGAGGCATGCAGATACGTAGCGCAAGGGTGCTATCGGCTCGAAGCAGTCGCTGCAATGTTACCTCCCCGTTAGCTTTGGGACAAGATCCACTGACAAATCGCTTGACGAAAACACCGCGTTTATTTACACTTGTTCTCAACGTGCCGACCTGCGTTGGGGGATATGCTAATTCAACTCTAACACCACCACCCGCTCCGAATCATGGCGCTCCCGCCGACGCTCACTAGCCTCGCGCACTGTGCAACGCGGACGGACTAAATGCTGCTTTTGGTGAGTCGCTACTTTGTTGCGGGCGCGCCACTCCCCCCGCGCGCGTGCCATCCCGGCGCGCGCACGCTCGCCTCGCGCTTCGCCCGCAGCGGAGGCGCGCGCGATGGCATTGGCGTGCGCTCGCATCTCCAGCGCGCGCCAGTCCCGCCGCGCGCCATGCGTGCGCGGAATCCTAGCGAGGGCGCGAGCCTTCCGGGCGCGCTGAACTCGCGACGACAAATCGCGCGACCAAACGGCGTGACAAATTTGACCCGTGTAACGCTCCCTATGGACGTACAATGCGAGCGGTGTTTCCGCAATGTTTGTCGCACGTCTTCCAAGAACACTTTGCCGTCGCCACTTCGAATTTTGTCGCGGCTCTGCGCCACTGGCGGATGTTGTCGTCCGCCGCCATTTTGTTGTCATTGGCTGTTGTTTTTGGGTCATTTTGAATGGGTCGCAGGCCTCGTTTTTGTTGACGTTGGACGTTTTGGTCGTCGGCCCATGTGTTTGTCGTCGGGTTGTTTTTTTGTTTTGCTTTTGTCGTCTGTGTTGTTTGGTGTCCTCCAAAGTCGGATTCAACATGTTTCTAGGGCTGTGCAGCATGTTTGGGGTTCTTCGCAGCTGGGTCCATCTTCCATACCGTTCACGCTTTGCGCGTCCCCATCACCCCGTCCGGAAACGATGCACAAGCGTTGTTCATGGAAGCTCGATTCTCGGTCCTCGCCCACCCCCTGGAGAGACCGCGCGCAACCGCTGGGGGGCGCTCAACGCTACCAGCGCTTGAGAAGCGTGACGGGCGCCGCGGCTTCACTCATAAACCAACAAATGAATGCGGTCTAGAGAAAGTGACGTTCGTCGTTTCGTGATCCTATGGAAACGAGGGGGGGTGTTCGGTTTCGTGCCCCATAGCGCTCTGGCAGATGCAAGCGTCAGCGCCGTTCGCCACCCTCGCTTCAAGCGACGCTTGCGGGGTCGGAGGTATGAACGGGCGGTTTGTTGCCATGGCGGCGCGAGCCCTGGTTTCTGAAACTGCGCGAACCGTTCGACCTTGAACGACCTCCTGCCTCAGAAGACCTCGGACGCTCTCGACACAATCGTTCATTAGATTTTTGCGCCGTGGATTGCCCGAGGCACAGCCAACCCGTATCATGAGAATGCGCGGTGAGGATGTCAGGGCCTGGGAGGTCCATGCACATGTTTTCCGAACGAGGCTGGCCAGCGAAAGTCGCGAACGATGGGCTGAATGGGCAAGGATGCAAAAGGGTACCCTTGGGAAGGTTGCCCGCCCTTACTAATACGTCGGGCATGTCCCCTTACAGGCGGATGTAAGGCGTTTTGTATTAACCAATAATGGTCCGACAATATTAATTCAGAAATGGCCCTTACGGATGCACTCCGACCCTTTACCAGGGGAGGCAGCACGCGAAGCGTGATGGAATAAAAGACACTACCTTTTATAGGATGAGAGAAGCCATGGCATCTCTTGGTGTGCCTGCGTGGGCCATTGCCCAGTCTCTGGAGCCAGCATGGCCCTGCGCACTCCTCTTTCGAGCGTGGACCACCACGGGCGGGTGGGGGCGCAGCGGGGCCAAATATTACACGCAACGAAGACCTGTTGCTGAGAGTCGAGACGCGTGCCGATGCAAAGGTATGACATTCCGAAAACCATCTAGCAAGCTCTCCCTATTTTGGAATGGCCCTTACATCTGTACTCCGACCCTTCTCTGGGGAGGCAGCGCGCGAAGCGTGACGGAACAAAAACACTACCTTTTACAGGATGAGAGAAACCATGCCATGGCATCTCTCGGTGCGCCTGCGTGGGCCACTGCCCAGTCGCACTCCCCAGCGAGCACCAGCCAGTTGACTGCGCCGAGAGCCAGCACCGCGGGCATGACGGGGGCCTGCAGGGGCGGCCGCCGCTGGCGCCACACGCCCAGCGCCTTCCACGCCGCGCAGCAGCGATGGCGAGGGCTGGCCTTCGCGAGGGCCGCCAGCAGAGTAGAGGCCGAACCCAAGCCTTCCACGCCGCCCGTCTCTTCGAAGGGATCCATCACGCGCCCGGCGAGGGCCCAATCGAGCTGCTCCTCGGAGAGCCGGCCCAGGCCGAGGCCGAGCGCCTCGAGGTCAGGGCTGAAGGCGCTGAGGGCGGCGGCGCACCTCAGCGTGGTCATAGGCTGCAGCGCGCTCATCAAACAGGTAATGATGCGCCCGCGGCGCCCGCCAGGATCCTCGGCCATGGCGCGGCACGTCTCGGGCCCTCGCGTGAGCCTGCACAAAAGAATGGGCCAGGGCCTGGCACGCCTGCGAAGGACAACGAGCAAGTTGCAAGGCGACGAAGCCCCCGCCAGGTGCCAGACCGCACAGGCCCCGATGGCGACGACGGCGATTGCAAGGAAGTCCCAAGACGCCCCTCAGCGCGGCATCATTCGCGACGACCGACGTTGGCTTCTGACAAATAGCTCCAGAACGACACTGATCGAACGACACTAGATGCAGCCCGAACTCTGCCATCCACTCCACCACCTCCTGGGAGCTCCAGAACGAAAAGGGAGAGCTCTTGCCCGGGACCCTGAGGACGCCCCTGCCCTGCCCATCCACCACGAAGAACCACGCGCGTGAATAGCCCGAGGCAGAATAGGAAGAGATGCGTTCCCAACGCACAGGCGCGCCGCTCCGCATCTGACAGTTCAGACAATGGCAGGAACGGCTGGGCCCTAGCGCGCAATGGCCTCGGCCCTCGACGCCCGCCCAACAGGCGGCGCCCGGCTCGACTGACCGCGGAGCAGGACAGCCCAGCGAAGATGCCCGCCACGCCCCCGCTGCTGCACAGCGCGCGCAGCTCGGCGGCGAGGCCGCCGCGGGTCAGGTCATGGCCCTCGTCGACAGCCATGTCGTAGGCCAACGCCTTCGCCACCAGCCCAGCGGTCTGCGCCTCCTGCCCCACGGCGTCGCACGAGTCTCCTTGGCGCCTGGGGCCAAAGCAGCTGCGCAGAAAGAGAAGCTCACAGCTGCCCCAGCCCAAAGGAGTTTAGGGCGCAACCTCCAGGCGCGGCAACGGCTGCGGCGGCTTCCGCGGCCCTCGGCCAGCGCAGACGTCACGCCAGCTGCGCGGCTCGCCCGCCGGGTTTTTCTCGGTGGGGATCCAGAAGTGGAAGTGGGAGAAGCCGCCCGCCAGCTCGATGGCCGCCCCGCGGCGGCAGCGTCGGTTCAGCTCGCGGCTGGCGCTGCGGCCCATGACGAGAGCGCCCTCGCGCGGCGCGCTGCCACCAGCATGGGGCACTCGGCAGCCCAGCTCTAACGGCCCGTGGAGACGGGCCCCCAGGCCCCAGAGCTTCGCGCGGGCCTCCTCCAGGGCGACGCGCCCCATGCCGCCAGGGCGCCCGACCTTGAACCAGTGAGGAATAGGTGGAAGCGTCACCCCGGCAAGCGCGCAGCGGCCCTCGAGGCCAACGTCGACGCCAAAGCCGTCGTCCAGCCTCGCGCAGGGAGCCCTGCGATCGGCCCACTGCGCGATGTGCCAGACTGACTCCACTGGCAGCGTCGCACAGGCCCTGCCACGCCGCGTCGGTGCACTCCACGTGGGGGCACCATTATGCGCCCAGGTCCTGCTCGGCGAAGGACAGCAGGATGGCGGACACCAGCAGCTCGCGCCAGGCCGGCGGGAACCCAAGCAGACGGGCGGCGGCCCCTCTGCGGCAGCGTCGCCATCCAGCGCGGGCGCGCGAAGCGCAAGCAAGGGCGATAGCTCTGGCAGTAGCCGCGCTCCCCAACCAGTCGCTCCACACCCATGCGGTACACCATCCGATGCCCGAGCAAGGCGAGCGTGGCCGCGAACAGGGCCAGGCGGCGGCGACGATGCTGAGTGGGGTGGACCTCCGTGGGGTGGACCTCCGCCCGCTGGAACTCGCCCTGGCCGCCGTCGGCGGACTTCCCGCGGTGCACAGGGATGCCCGCGCGGCCCCGGGCCTGCTCGGCATTGGTCATCCGGAAGGCGGTCGAACTGCGCGCACGGCCCCCAGCCGAGCGCTCGCCCAGCGCCCACAGGTCGCCAACCCCGCAGCGGCAACTCGGCGGGGCACGGCGTGTCGAACCTCACCCTGCGGCCCTGCGGCAGATCAGCCTTCGGGAACGTCGTGCCCGGGGCCGCCTGCGCCCATCCCGCCGACGGCGCGAAGCCCATCGGCGTGGCGCGGTGGAAGGGGTAGACGTCAGCCCCCCTCCCACGCGGGTCGGGCACGGGCGGGTGCGCCATGCACTTATACCAGCGCTTTCCGATGGCCAGCCGGTGAACCTAGCGCCGCAGGCCCCGCTTTCAGGGATTCACCATGGTGCCAGGCAGCGCCTTCACCGCGCGCAGCCTCGGCGAGCAGGCGAAGGTGGGCCGCGGCAGCAAGGCAGGGTCGGGCAGCTGGTTCACGGGAAGGTCCGAGATCACCCACTACTCCGCGTCTGACTTCTCCACCCCGAAGGCCCCCGCCACCAGCGGCGCCCCACGGTGCCTGCGAACTCTCCCCTTAAATCCATAGGCCTGCAGCCCCGCCCTCAGGTCGCGCTCGACCAGGCGAGGATAAGTAGATGCGATCAGCGCATGTGGCCTCCGGATCTTGGCAGGGCGCTCAGCGCCTCAAAAGAGCAGCGACTGAGGGCGACGAACCTGGTCTGCAAGCCAT